ATATTATTGTATTATTATACTATTATACTAATATTGTAATTATTGTTATTATTGTTGTTATAATATATATATATATGTATATATATATAAACATATCTATATATATATATATATCTCATTTGCATGTTCATATATATGATATATATTTATATGATATGTGTATGTATATGTATAATTATATGAATAGATTTTTGTTCATGTTAATGAATATGTTAGTATATGTACATTTATATGTATTCATGTATCTATATATGCGTCTATGTGTATGTATGTACATCTACAGATACATGTACATATATATGTGCATGTATGTTTATATGTACATTCATATCTACATGTATCTGTAGATTTAAATGTTGAAGTATATGCATATGTACAACTATATGTATATATTTATATCAATAAAATAGGTATATATATATATATATAAATATGTATGTGTCTGTGTGTGTGTGTGTGTATGTATATATACATCTTATTTTTATTCATGCAAGTATGTTTTGTGTATATGTACGTATGTATGTGGTTATGCATGTATGTATGTAAGTATGTATATATATATATATATGTATATATATATATATATATATATATATCTGCATGTATGTGTGTGTGTATGTATGTGCGTATGTTGGTATGTATGCTTTTATGTATGTATATATGTATGTACAGACGTATATATATATATATATATATATATCTATATCTATATCTATATCTATATATATATATCTATAGATATATTTGTGTGTGGGTGTGTGCTTGTGTGTTTGCGTGTGTATGCGTTTGAAAGTTTAGTCGTGCATAAGTATTCGCTAATCACTGCAAATTTCTGCTCCTTGGTTTCAATCTATATCCGTCAGCTGTAGTCACTTTCGAAATGTCACCCAGATTTGTTCATCATTTGACCCGAATTTCTGATATTGAACGAATCCTTATATGTAAAGGGGCGGCAATAACGGGACCCCTTGTCCACCTCATGGTGGCCTCCAATGAGCGGATATATCCTGGGAATAGCGTCCGGGCAGTGATTGTGAAAGCGAGTATCAATTTGATTTGGAGTCCGCTCCTCATCGCTGCGACTCTGAGCGGTAGTATGTGGCTTAGGTATGCTATTCAATCTTTGCTGTAACTGTTTGTTGCCCAGATCTAAGCCGAGATAGCTTCTTCACACGATTACAACCATTTTGAATTGGACATGCGCATTAACGTGCCTTGCATTTGTCTCATTTCCTGTAGAGGGAAGTCCAACACCGAGATAAAACAGAAAATAGACGTCGATTTCCTACCGACCTGTGTCACTGGTCTTGGCTTTTGGCCACCGGTTAACATTGTGCAGGTAACTTCTAGCCACTGCCCCTCTCTCAACTATGTTTCAGTAGAGCAAGGTATTTATCAGTGTTGTTGTTTATACATGGTCTTCGTTCTTAAAGTTCCGATGCTAATCCCCTGTCAATTCCCTATCCCTCTCACAGTACGCATTCGTTCCTCTGAAGTGGAGAGCGTCGGCCGGTGCGTGCGCCGGGGGTATCTGGTCCACCTATCTAAGTTATCAATCCACCAAAGCTCACGAAGACCACGCTGTCCACGCAGACTTGAACGTGCCTCTGGGGATGGATGTGAGTGTCCATAACCACGACCGAGCGTACCAGAGTGGCGTTGACACGCAGAATGCGCTGCTGAGCGTACAGAGACAGAGTTCGGCGGACAAGATAGCGTCGGCCATACACGCCTCACCACTGCATAGGCGACTAACGGGCCAGAACATCTCACATGTGCTTAGTGGTGATAGTGAATACAACCCGGCGGATGACGACAGGTAAGCGACTATGGATGTACGGAACTAAAGGAAACTCCTCAGCAAGAGCTTGTTTGTTTTGGCAGTAGATATAGCACGAGATTCTCTGCAAATATCCAAGTGTATAATGTACCAGCGACATACCACTTCGTGTGCAGCTATGCACTGGTATTCCCCGTAGTTGGTTTCCTTGATACGGAGATTTCCAATAGGCAACAGGATGGTAGTGGTGGGCCAGTCAAGTAGCTCTCTGAGGTTCAATCCAACCTTTGTGCTGACCCATACGTACTGCATTGTCTGGTACTTAGTTAAGATGAATCTTAGTCGAACTGACGGATGATACTCCGGATTGGTCTTATAGAAGGTGTGCTTAGCATTAAACTATAGCGTGATACTAGGAGATTTCGATGGATGGGATATGCACTACACATATTCAACACAGACTCGAGATATAATAGATAGAATCATCCTTCGATGTCGCTATTCAATACAAAGGCGAGTGCTTCCGAGATGCACATTGCCGCACAAGGATCATCCCTATTGACGAGCGAGCTGACGGCAGAAAAATAAAAGATCAGACTTCTAAATTTATTTGGAAGAAACGCGCATTCACAATAATTGAACACTCATCCTTCCATTGTGGTGAGTAACTCTCTCTTGGTCTCGGCCGTCTGCTTGACCAAATACGGTATCATCGCGAGCATCTCCGAGTAATCGAGAGTCCTTACAAAATCTTCCAGAATGTGCTCTGGATTGTCCATTTCGGCCAATTCATGCTCCATCCTCCTCATCTCTGTATTCAATGTATCCACCTCCAGATCCAAATCCTCAATTAAAATGGAGACCATTTCTATCTGCTCCTGCAGTGCATCGTTGTCATGTACTGACGGAGACCGTTTGGACCTGTTCTGTGGGCCGTTATGTACCATCTCTTTTGTATCGGCATCCAGGGCTTCTCCATTGTGAACCCCATCCAGACTGTAACTCAAAATTAGTTTCTTTAGTTGTGCTTCCACCTCTTTCTTCTCAGCCACCTTCCTCGTTCTCCTGTGCACTAATTTGTTGTAAGTTTTAAATTTCTGTCCTTCGAACGTCTCGGTAGCTATAATCTCCTCCACGTGTTGTTGTTGTATCTGCAACACTTCCGGATCAGGCCCTTCTGCCAAATGCTTGTATTTGTCCAACAAGTCGTCTACACTATCACCATTTCCTCCTTCACTACTCTTGCCATCGTCTGTATTGGCAGCTGTGCTCTTGGCTGCACCTATTCCCCGTGGTTCTCTGTCTGTGTCGAATGATTTGATCGGCCTCGCCCTTAACCCTGAGGCATGGGCTTCAGACTCAGCAATCCTCGAATGCAAACTTGCGCCCAGGCTACCGAAGCTTCCACCGATGGAGATTTCACTACCTCTCCGGAATGTTGATGCTTGGGACGCAGATGTACTTGTACTCCTCATTCGGTACAGGTTGAGCGATACGCTCGAGTTGACTCTCGGGACACCTTCCAAGCTGATGTTATCACCCGCACTCATTTGACTCACATGACACAGCAGCTGATAAATGTCTCTATCTCTATCCGCAACTACGCTCTTCAGCACAGCGATCGTCTGCTCTGCTCGGATCTCCTCGTCTGTCAGTTGCGCTAACTGGTCGTGTATCGACTCACCATCCGACTCATTGGCTTTACCTACCGGGCTTCCACCCCCTTCAACAGTACCACCCCCCCTGTCTACCCCTCTTTCTCCGTCCGTGTTCGCAGTTTGACCACCCGCCTGTATGTCTGCCTCACACTTCCTGCAGGCACTAGCCCCTCCAGTCTTCCTGCGGATCTGCTCCCGCGCACTTTCCAGCTCTCGCTCTCTAATCGACGTCTTGATCATCTCCTTCTGCGCCAGATTCTCCACTTGCAACTTGTGTAACTGGCTTTTGAGAGCCGTCACCTCGGCTACCAACTCCGCGTTCACTATGCCCGCACCCCCCGCCAACTGCGACAGTACAACAGGTTTGTTCTTTATTTTCTTCGCTCGGTTTGCGTAGTTGACTGTATTCCTGGTCTCCATGAAGTCCCCGTCGCTGGGCGAAATGCACGCAATCATAAGCGTCAGGGAGTTTCCACCCAGGGAGTCCTTGAGCAAACGCGTTAGCTTGGAGGATCGATACGGTATGAAACTATTCGAATCCTTCTGCGATACAGACAGTGCGGGAGACGTCACGCTCTTGTTCTTGAGCGGCGGTGTGGGCCCCAGACCACGCCGACCCGAGCTCATACTTGTGTGTCTACTCACTCCCCGGCTATGCTTAGGACTGGCACCGGGAGTAGGCGCAGGGGACTCCCTCCGTCTCTCACGTTTGGTCTGTAGGTCGCCCAGGGCCGATATCACGTTACCCAAAGCGAGTAGTCCACTGTTGATAGAGATGCCCTCTTTCGCCCTGTCTCCCGTGGCGTTGGTCCGTTTCAGCCGCTCACTGCCCGCGAGATCGACAAAGTTGAACTTGGACGTTGTGGTGACGCCTAGACTAGAGGTACGTGTGAGGTGGATGGTGAGGATCGCGTGACTCCTGGACGATGTCGCATTCCTGTTGTGACGGCGGAGTGTAAGTTTCACAGTCAAGAGTTGGAAAAACATGATACAACTTTTTCGTGCCAGGTAGTGATTACAAATGTCGACACTCAAACCGAGCCTTCTGATTGGCCTGCAAACTCCCGACAGTATTGCCTGCCCCAGCAGCTGGGTGTAAGGCTGCAGTGTAATGTACGTAAACGTTAGCACTATCCAACAGTGAGAGCGGTGGACGTTCAAACCAGCTTAAAGAGTTGCACTGACTTCAGAGTCAACTGGCAAATGTATAGCACTAACCTCTGGCAAGAGAGTCACGTGTGGACGGAATCAGCTCGCGCCTGATCACTGTACATTCATACGCTTATGTTTAGGCTCACATGTGGTGACAACTCATGATACGACGATAGGCACTCACTTGCCAATACAAACTTCATATAATAAAATACAGTCGCTAAGAAATAAGGACGACGCGTTTAGTTAATAAACGTGTCGCTTTGCTGCTACAGTCACCGATGATGCACTGAAGCCGGTAAAGACGGTGAACGTGTTGAGATGCAGAAACCGTGGTTGGTTTCGTATTTCCAGATTCGTTTGGGTAGACGAAAACGATGGAAATATCGAAATTCACGGTTTTGGCAGAAGAGTCCCATCCAAGTACACAATATGTGTATACACTCACGTAATCAATAGACTGTCTTACATCGAAATACATTCGTGTTCAAATTCACACTTACCCATACTCATACATCGGTATGCAATCACATCCAGCTTTGCAACACATCCAAATCGAGAGTCAAATAAATTAAACGACACAAACTCACATATTAGTCGACGCGGTGGTACGCGCATCAGACCCTCGTCGCAAGTGAGCGAAGACTTCATCAGCGTCCTTACTCGGTACTTTAGTCACCCCCTTCAGATACGTCTCTCCTGACTTTCTATCCTCCACTATGCTGACCTGATTTGGTGTCAAGTTGTTGGTCGAATCCAGGTCCGCGGACGGATGCAGCAGATCGACAATGGTATCGTTGTAGAGCTCAATGAACGAAACACTCACAGCGTAAGATTCACTATTCCTGTTCTTGCCCGTATCTCCGCCCTCCTGCCGCGTACCATCTTTGTTGGGGCTATTCTGTCCATCATCTGCACCTTCTCTATCCTCAGCTGTAGTACTGGACTCTAGCTGTGCGTAGATATCACGCACAGTACGAGGGATGATACCTTGTTGATCCAGCGGAACTCCGCTGCTCAGTGTGTCACTTCCAGAACCCATAGTATACGTTTTGCCTGTCCCGGTTTGTCCGTAGGCAAGGATAGTGGTATTGTACCCCTGAGCGTGGTGAGTGTAGAGTCATAGATATGGTATGCCTATCAAATATCACTGTAAATATATATTCCTATGCATTGATTATATATTGATATACTAACCCAATATTGAGGATATGCGAGGAAGTGCGTCTCCATTATAAAGAATATGAGGGGGTTGGGCAGATTCTGTGCATATGCTGAAATCCACTTCAGGCACAGTATGGCTATGCATTTATGTATAACTGTAGTGTGTATTGTTTCTTTAATAATCAGGTCGAAAATATTCATCTGCAGTTGCAGAGACGCATACGTTTCCATAGCAACCAGGTTCAGAACTTGCCGTCACCCAAAATGGACTATGAAATTTGCTATAAAAGATGTGTATTCGCCATGAGGACATCAATAGCCACTACCCCGTGAATCCGTAAGTGTTTTGTGTGCGCTCTAGGGCTAATAATTAGGTGGTACAATGAAGACAAGTGCCGTATGATAATCTGAACACATTCAATAGCACAATAGCACTGCGCAAAAGTTAAGGAAGACCCAGTCACGAAAAGAAGAGCATGTGCATATACATCACATATCGATCAAAATCCTACCTGCACACACTTATCGACGATGCCCTTCACGCAGCCGTTGTACACCGACTTCTGGTCCAACTCTGGGGGGTACACCTGATCGAACGAGTACGACTTATCTCGTCCCAAGACTATCTGGTTCGCATCGCCCGGCATCTGCTGTACACATATGTCTGCCTCTTCCACTAATTCTCTCTCACTCTGAGGGCGTATGCGTATGGCCACTTGCAATCCAGCTGGTGGTGGTGTTTGTGTTTGTGTGTGTGTGTGTGTAGCTTCCGTGCCTAGTGTACTGTCTTCTGTGGGTAGGCTTATACGTATGTTAGTACTTGTGGCCGTTGCAGTTGTTGTCGTATGTTCAGTATTTTCATCCATGGTGTGTACCTGGCCACTTTCTGTTGCGGGTGACATTGTGTACGCGAGCATGCAGTATAAATAGGAAACAATAGAGACAGAATAGAAGAGAGTTACAAACAACAGAGATCGGCACTCTGACACTCTGATTTGTCGGCGCACTTTACGCTTAGGTATATATTTATAGGTCACTGTAGCCGTTCTAGAACCTCTGATAAGTCACCGCTTCACACTAAAGATCTATCAGTAGATAAATGCTTCTATTGGCCATAAATGCTTCTATTGCCATACTTCGAGGACATATCGCTCCTCTGATCAGTGATCACTAAATAAACATGTTTTTAAAAGCCCATTTGTAAAACGAATACTATAATAAATATGTAAATGACAATAGGCAATAATGAAATATCACAAGTTAAAAATATATATATCAACTGCTTTGTTGAAAAAAAACAATCAGAAAGTTAACTAAAAAATTGAAAAGTTGTCCGTGAACTCCGAAATACCTCAGCATCTAAACAATACGTTAAACCCTGAAGAAATAAGCGTTTATGTTCAACGCGTATAGTGCTGACGTACGGGTTCACTTTCAGAGCCCTGAGGTGCATAATTTCACAGAATTGTACCTGAAGTGACCATTTGAATCGAATAACAGGTCGGGTTTTCAAGTCTTTTGACCCCATTCTTTTAACCCGTATGTATGTACTGAAGTCTGATGAAAGGCGAGACACACAACTCGATTCATCAGGTGAAGTTTATGTCAGTGTGTGCATATCATATACAATCCTTTGCAACAAATATACAGTATCCAGTATACATTATATACATGTTTCGTATAATCCACGTTAGTAGTGAAGTAATCACTAATAAATAGGCACGATGGCCGGCACAGCCTTGAAACGCTTGATGACGGAATATAAAGGTATATTACCGGTAACATTGAGAACATTGTAGCATATTTATACTTGTTGTATATAGCACACACCTGTGTGTATATAGTATACACGTTTTGTGTAAAGCATAAACCTAATCGTATATAGAATATGCTCATCTGTGTGTGGCACTTACCTATCTGTCTATACGTATGCGTGGATAGTTGTGATCGCGTGTGCTCGTGTGTACAGGCTTATCACTTTTCACATACCCAAATATGCCGCGTGTATACGTATCCAAATGTGATTAGGATTAGTATGTGTACGCATGCGTCTCTTTGTATGACTGCACTGTGTATGTATGCCACTTGAGTGGAAAAATAGTGGCAACTAATATCCACTTTTCTAACCGCGTCTAACCGTGCATAAATAATTGTGTGTAAGAGTCTATGTCAGTCACAACTTGGACCCGAACAGAACATCGTTGATGTTTACATACAGTCGCATACTCTTTTGCAAATGTTTAGCTATATGATGGAATTCGACAGTGATAATTCATATGCAGCAAATTAATCCCATAAATCGGTAATACACATTTGATATATCAACATAGACGTCTTTTGTTCGCATAAATATGTAAGTATATATGCATATATATATATATATATATATATATACATAAATGCATGTTTGTATGTATATGCATATGTATG